ACACACACACACACACACACACACACACACACACACACACACACACACATACACATACACACATTTGCTGTGCTCTCTGGTTGGAGATAGCCTCAACTCAGCCCTTCCATAATTCATGACATGACATGCCAAGCTTCAGTGGAACTCCAGTGTTTATGGAAAAGAGAAATATCTGAGTCACAAATTCCAGATTTACCTCTAAATATCCCTTTTACATATTATTGTGTGCTTTGAATACTTGGACCAGAAAGTCAATACAGATTGTCATTGAACGTTTCACACTTGCTTTGTCCGTCTTTTTGCCTTATATATCATGCATTATCTGCCTTTTGAAAAGATACCACCCAGTTCATGTCATTTTCTCCACCGCTCCGATGGTTATTATATCATCACATCCACTGTTTGTCAGTCTCTGGCGGAAGAGTACTGAACTGAGCGGAAGTAAAGCTCAGCAAGGCAGAAGAGAGCAGAATGGAGCCGAAAAGAGAAGAAACGCTTCATTAGTGGGCCAGCTGAGGCCCCAGGCGGCTGAGGTGAATGTAGATTTTTACACATGAGAAACTGGAGAGCAGCTGTGGTTATCTGATGTACTAACAGCCTGCAGAGACACGTGGATACATCAGGCAGAGAAACAACAATAAGGGGAATAATGTGCATTCACACAATGGCGCAGCAGTTACATTATTTGGCTCGAAGCAGAACCATGAACAATGCCAAGCCACATCTATGTATATCATTCTCTGGTTTTCTCCTACTCATTCAACACCCCGGCTCCTTAAATCCTAATTGAGCAGAAAGTCTTCATAACTTGAATACAACACCCACCTCGGTACAGAAGCCACTCCATCCAGTGTTTGAAATCTCGGAGGTTGCAGTCACATTCCCAGGGGTTGTGTCCCAGTTCCAGGTGTTGCAGGTTGGCAAGCGGCTCAAACGCTGCCCTCTCCAAACCATGGAGCCTGTTACCTGCTAGTGACAGCCACCTAAGAGGAACAAGAATGATTATCATGAGGAATCTAAGAGGATGAGATCATTTTATGAAATAAGATACAAACTAGACTTTCATACTGCAAAACAGTATCAACCCATACCTAATGTAGCCTAAGGTAAATGTACAGTCTTCTCTAAAGAAAAAAGTGGTATTAATCAGCTTTCAAAATTGTGATCTCTGAAAGAGTCTGAATGAGAGCATTGTGACATGTGACATGTATTTCTACCTCAGCCTCTGCAGCTCATCAAGTACGCCGAGAGGAACTGTGGACAGACCATTCAGTGATAGGTCCAGGGTCTGAAGGCTGTCCAAACCCTGTAGAATCAGCAAAACCAGCTCTTTGTCAAGCTCAGTCTCTGCTACTGGAACATTATCACATTCAGGGGGGACATTTGACAGATTGTGCTTTTAGATTAATCTATCAGACAAAGTCATCCAGCAGCAACAGCATTGTTAAAATGCATGTATTTTTAATTATTTCATAATTCACATTAATTACAAGACAGACACAAAGAATTTTCTCAGTTTTTTAAAGGGATATTTCATAAATTACTCTGTAAAGTTAAGCACAGTGTTCTATGTGGCCTGCACCCGAATCCATGCCTTATTTCTTTATGGATTTGTTGTGGAGCTAAAATTAGGCTTGGTATAATCTGCAGTGCCTACCTGGAAGAGGTCTCTGTCCATTACTGTTAGGGAGTTGTTGTGTAGTGTCAGTCTTGTCAAGTTGGACATGTCTCTGAATAATCCAGCTGGTAAATTATTCAGGTAGTTATTAGAGAGGTCCAGCTCCTGAAACACAAAACATAAGAGGTCTAGCTCATATATTTATCATGATCTCATTCAAAACTGCCATTTCATCAAAGAAATCCCATTAAGTAGTCCATTTGACATTTTCCCCCTAGGGCTTCTGGGAAAATGTAAATGACGACTAAACACATCAACAGAACGATTTCAGATGTTGTTGTCAGGCGGAAACCTGCTGGCTAGGTGATGCCAAGTTTGATCGTTTAGAAAATGTCATCTTGATAAAGTAAAACGAAAAAAAAATCAGGAAGAATGAAGAAAAGTGTGGCCATATAAATTTCAGTTAAGACAAACTGGAAAGCCAGCTCTGGCACTGCCACCTGAGCTCCGCAGAAGGTGGTAATACATCATGGATATTTCTGTCCTTTTCCAAATGATAGTAGAGGGAGTGTGTGGTGAAAACAACACCGCCCTTGCATGTATAAACAACAACAAAATAGCAGCAAACGACAACATGTTCAAATGAGAGGCAGAGAAAATGAGCTCTGACAGCCGCAGACAATAGGATGCAGACCTCCAGCGAGGAGAGATTCGCAAAGGCAGCGGCTCCCAGTGAGGCCAGTCTGTTGTTGGCTAGCAGTAGGGAGCGACTCCCTCGAGGCAAGAGGTGCATGGGAGGCAGCGAGGAGAGACCGCGGCCCCCGCAGTCCACCACCAGGTTGTCTGAGGAGCAGAGACAGGGAGGAGGGCATGGGAGGGCTGGCGGCAGCAGAGCAGCCAGGAAGCAGACCACACCGAGGAAGACTGGAGGGGGAGAGAGCAAGACAGAGAGGATGGTTATTTAGGGCTTCCTGTGAAATCTTTAGAACAGGGAGACTGGAAATATTCAATTGTGAAATTAAAAACAATGTGAGTGCACCAATTTATCTCAGTAATCCAAGGCAGCGTTAATACAACACAGTCTGGTGCCATTTTAATTGTGTTGAATTTCATTTTCTGGCAATTTCTGATTCCACAAATGTGTTTGTTTGATCAAGGCTCAGTTTGTCATTTTCGCATAAGAATTGTGCATAGAAGAACCAAAGCACGGCTCGAATGACATGTGCGGTGTTTCTTTGTTGTGTTTGTGTTCAACAGTCTGCTCTGTTTTGTCACAAAACCAGCTCTTTCTGTCACACTGAGCTGCAAACGTCTGGGTCTTTTCTGTGTGCGTCAGGCAGCACACTCATGAGAGCAAGCCTTTATCAAATTTTCCAATCAAGATTTTCCTGTAGACAACAGTCATCTTAATCAGCTCCTCTCATTGTCTCCGTTTCTGTCTCTGGTTAGCTCCATCTTGCTTAATTAAAAAAAACTCGTGCCTTTTTACAATGTTCAATTTCTGTTTGTTTGTTTGTTTGTTTGTTTGTTTGTTACTTTATTCATTTCTTTGTCAGTGTTTGTATGTTTTTATATCTATTTGTCCCTTCTCATGCCAATATTCTCTTTCCCACTCGACTCTCTTTATCTTTCCCATTTCTTCTCACTTGAAGTCTCTTAGCACTGTTCTGTATTCCCCCAGTGTCTCGTTACACTGGCTGACTTTGTTTCCAGCCAATGGCTTATCGGTACAGCTTATGCTTTATCTTGTGTGTGTGTGAGTCTGTGTGAGTCTGTGTGTGTGTGTGTCATCAACAAAGCATATTATTAAGAAAGCCACACTGTTTCAACTTCTCTGCACCTGCAGATTTCATCACTTACATCATCTGCATAATATTAGCACCTGTTTGTTCATGTGCAGATGCCTTTTCTAACGCTCCCTCACACGCTCGCTGTTTCCTCTATGTCTCTTTTCATTTGTCCATCTGTTTTCTTTTACTTTTGCTGTCCTTTTCATTTTCTCTCTCACACTTCCACTTCTCACTTTCCTCTCAGCATTGCCCATCTCATGTGATGCAACTCCACGAAATAGTCCTTTACTGCCCAGTCCACAAATTACAAGAGATGAGTGATAGTTTAATGGAAGAGATATCATTCTTTAAATTGGCTTGACTTTCCACAGGGCCTCTGTAACTCATTACTAATATTAACCTAAGTGCAACAACCAGCTCTAACTTTGTCATTTTCTAGAATAAATAGATTATGTGCTAACTGTTTAATCTTCATACTGTATGTCTGAGTTACTTTTTTGGATAAACAACTTTAGGTTAAGTCTATAAATTGCTTGAATATCCAACTCATTAAGCAGGCATTATCTTTTTTATTGTTCCTGAAGACACTTTTATTTTTTTTTACTATAATCTGGAGGACTCGGCTTCTTTTCATAGCAGCCCCTTTTTTATGCTGGGGTATAAAAACAGTGTTTCATCTTGCTTTGATGGCAGCGCTGTCTCAAAGTGCTATGAAACATTTTTATAGAATAGTTTTTAGGGTAACGTAAAAGTAAATGTGACAAATATAGTTCACACTTATATGATATCCAAAAAGAGTACCGACTGAATTGCTAATTTGCTTCCAGCATTGTGTTTTTGTTATTACGGTTTGAAATGTAAGAGTACAAAGAGGAAGTTTGGGATCTGTAAAATCAGAAAACAATGGGCATATGATAGCATAGCGACTGTGAAAGCGGCTCATCTGCTGTCAGAGTTGATAAAATATAAATAAAGTCAGCCCATGAATTGTGTTGTCATATGCAGGCTGCAGCCTGACTCTTTTTATTGGTGATGGCGCTGCCACGTGCCACATGTCAGACGAGGTGCCACAGCAGTGTGCCCCCAGAGTGATCAAGCAGTATTAAGAGTGTGACCATAATTCAACACGCACAGAACAGAAATGCCTCAAACGGAGGCTGCTCTTCAGAGACAGCCATCATTATTTGTGTCGTTACATGCAACCATGCCTTGCAAACGCCTATAAAAGTAACTGAAAACCTCATTTGATGCCTCAGTACTGTGAACTGAAAGGAGATGGTCGATGTATTTTTGCTACACTGACTGCCTCATGACAGAACAGAAAGTGGTACATTGGTTCTTGGTTAAAAATATACAACTAAAGGGTTCTCAAAGCTTCCCCAAATGCTTAATATGAATTCATTAAAACTGTAATTACAAACAAAGCCACTCAGAACTGAAAGAGAGGTCATCTCATGCTATCCTTATTGTCGTGGACTGTTTCTCAAACCTTGGATCTTTTTTTTTCTTTTTACGAGTGACTGTACATTTGCAAAACTCTGGATAGTCAATATAATCAATATATAGATCCATTCATTTATATATTCTTTTTGTTTTACTCGTGGTTTTCATGAAAATCTGATTTACATATGATCACTGTATTATTCTGAATATATATATATATTTGATGTGATCTAGAAATAGCTCCTTTCATCAGTTAACTGCTAGGCAGATTGTAACCTCCCCCACCCAAGACGTTGCCCCATTTTAAATTTTGATTCAAAAGATTTTGAGATTGAAGATTTCATCCTTGTAAAAGATGCCATGGTGTGATCTCTCTCCCGTTTCCTCTTTCTGTCCTCTCAGCTCTGTTCCACGGCGTAATCCTAATCTCTGGGGAAACTGAACTCCACTTCATTAATGGGTGAAAGGAGAGATTTGAAAGTGTCCCAAAGTATCATGTGCTGTTTTTCTTTGTAGTTGAAGTTTCCAATCTAAAACGAGATTTTTCTGCGTGGTGATTCTGAAGCTGTTTGAAAATGTACAGCAGGAAAGGAGATTTGGCAAGACAATGTAACCACGAGGAAGAAATGCTATTAAACAACTAAAAGAGAGGAGAGCACAATGGATCAGACAGAAATTGTGTTTATTCTTCTGATGTCACATATAAATTTCAATTTTCAATCACCTGGTTCATCAGTCCTCTCTCAGGCATAATGGGATTTATTTTGCAAAGGTAATCTTCTCCGAACAACAAGCCCTCTCATATCCTCCTCATCCTCCATCACCCCTTCTCTTGCTCTGCCACAGCAGATCTTCCAGCATTTCTGAGTGTTATTAGCTGCTCTAGTGGAGGAGGTGTCTGTTGTTTTTGGCTTGTTTTAGCTGCTCCAAATCATCTCCGATGCGTTGCTCTGCACTGCCATATCAAAAGAAAATAGATTCCCCCATAGCCAGAAAAAGATATGACTCCAAATAAGTCTAATTGGTTATGTGCGGTTTTATTTAGTTGCAAAAGATCTCTGACTGAATTTTAGAGATCCCAAACACATTAAAGATCATGAAGTGCTGATATTATAAGGATGAGATGTTTCTCTTTAATTGAATCATCTCTCATATCAACAGTTTTTCCACAATCCTCAGCACCTCCAACCAAATGTCCTGAAAGCCACACAGTAAAAGCAGCTAACATTTGAGCGATTACTACATTCATTCTACCCTTATGCTGCTATATTATAATGGCCCTTTTACAAATACTAGCTATGCTGTGTATTTATAAAAAAAAGACCACACAGACCAGCTTTTCTTTAAAATTGGATGATGTTTAACAGTGTTTCCAAGGCAATGCTTTTTGACACCTCCAGGGCCTCATATGTCTGTAAATTTATACCCAGAGGGCCATTGGTGACATTGGACCCAGTTATGATGTCATCACCACAGGCACTTCCATTACTGAGCCCAGTCGCATGTTACTAGGGCCCAAGCTGTTTTCCATGTGAGCGACAGACTCACTGCTATCTTGTTACAAGGATGACCAGCTGTTCTCCAAATGACTGTAGGTCTTCCCTGTTCAATGTTTTACGCTGTGCTCTGAGTGTAACCCAAATCCACCCTGCTGCTTTGGAGCACACTTTAAAGTGAGCCATGTGTCTGCAAATGCCTGGGACGTTACTTGATGCAATGTGCTGCACTCGCTGCAATGGCTGTATGAATTTATAGAACGGTATTTACTTCTAGGACATAATTAGGATTAACAAATGGTTTAATGAACCAGTAAAGATGGTGACTGTTGACATCAAATTTTAAGTTTGAACTTAGATGTACATTGTCAGGAAGTATTTTACAGTGGTTGGAATGACCTCATACCTGCAATAGTTATCTATCTGAATTTGAATTACCAGACATCGAAAATGTTTGTTTTGGTTTTTAAAAAGTGATATTTTGCATGTGTGACAATGGATAGAAGCTGAAAACCTTAAAGCTAAGACGAATGGAAGATCCTGTTTATGTTATTTGGACACATGCCACATAGCTTGTTTTTCTCCTGTGTAATTTCTTTTTAATCCCCACTGTAACCCAAGACCCTATTTGTTAAGCAGACAGAAAATAGCCAACAAGTGTGTGCTTTTTAGTGTGTGTTTGTCATGGATGTATGTTTGATCAAATTTTTATAGCTCTACTGGCACTCCAAATGTCTTTCCATGCCATTATAAAGGATGTAAAAGAATCCATAACATACATTACGTTGAATGTCAAGGTCCAAAAAATACCACCTCATTTAGTCATCACAGACATGATGTTACCATAGCAACCATTATATTAAATGCAGAGGGCCTAAGGGAGAGAAGTTTGTGGTCAAATCCTGTCATTTAACACACATTAGTTTATCTCTTTTCTGTCACGGCCCAAACCTTTCCACCTGACTTTCTAAGTACAAGCGTGTATAATCTCTGTATCCCACACACAGAAAGTCACATACACACACAAACACACACTGACAAATGCGCAGGAATTAAAGATAAGCAGGCTGTACTCCTGCTGACAGCGTGATGAGGAGAGGCGAGACTCCCTCTAAAAGCTTGATTTTTCGTGATGTTTCCATCTCCACTCTCAACCAGATTACATCCAATTACGGATTTCTGTTTCCCTCTTCCTTCGTCTCCATTCTCCATTTACTCCTGGCCTTCTCTCATTCCCCTTTTTTATCCTACAGACTGTCATCCCCTCTGTCTGTCTTGTCCATTACTCCTGTGATGAATCCTGCATCTGTGAGATAACGTCATTATTTTGACTTGAAGCAGCGAGTGGGTAACATGTAGGCTTATATCTCTCTCTAATTCATTCTATTTGTAGCTGTTAGGAGTGAGTGACAGGCCATGACATTGTTTTTGTGACTGTGACTATTAATTTTCAAGAGTGACAGTTCAAGGAATGCAGAGACAGGACACTAATGATCAGTCAGTTCCTGATTTTAAGGCAGTTTCAGCACTTCCGTCAGAGCGGGTTTTGTGGTGCTTTGTTCTGACCACACAGCTTCCGTCCAAGGCAAAATATAGCCAGTACATGAAGGAAAAAATGAATGAGACTTGGCTTTTGATTTCATTTCCGTTTCAGTGTGACTGGAATAGAATAAATTCTACTTAGATCTGTGACCGGCTGTAATGCATGCCCACTCACTCTTCAAGCGGAATGGGCTGGCCAACTTCACTGAGCCAAAGTGACCACAAATACATCTGCCGTGACGTGGTTTTAACACCTTCTTGATTTTTAAGTAAGTCTTTTGCTGTACAGTGTACCATTTCCTTTTGGAAAACAAGACCATGGACACTTGGATGACAGATGAATGATGGCTAGATGCTGAGAAAAAAGAGGAGTTGATACAATGAAAATGTATAAATTGATGAAGGATGGTGTGGGTTGACCAATAAGCTCACCTGAAATTAATTTGTTACCGTCAACTATGTGTGATTGCATGGTGGGTGAAATACTATTTTCTCTCTTTGGTTTGATATAGTTTCAGAATTCAGTGCTTGAGCTTCACTGTATTTGTTGTAGAGTGTAATGAAAATGTGTCGTCATCACTCTGGAACAGCACTGTTTGCAATGTTGGCAGGTTTAACCCTGCCAGTGTCCTCTGAAGGTGGGCCAGAGCCTGCATTTCAAACATCTCCTTCTATACCTGCTCCAAATGAATGGTAAAAACAAAAGGCAAAGAAAACATCATCTCTATTATTCTACTCTCATTTACGCCTCTTGTAATTAGTATCAGTTATTAAAATAGCTATTGATTGCATGCTTGACTTTGCCAGACGCTTTTGCTCATTCGCCAACAAGCTGTCATTTCTGTTTAGGCCACGTCTCATGTAACACTAAGAGAAGGGATCAGGCTCCACTTCGCATCTAATGATGCACACAGATAGTATCCAACCACTGGGAACTAAAGCCAAACTCAAATCCCATCGTGGGTGGAAATAGCAACTAACCAGCAGCTAACAGTGTCCAACAAAATAATTGTCATAATTAAGCTTTTGTTTGGATGTCTTTCAATCTACTGGAAACAAAGACATGAGCAGAGAAACGGTGGCTGCAGAAAAATTCTAGCTGTAAGCTGAACTGCAATCCCAGCTATGGGCGCGTAAGCCCCGCGATAAGCATCTGAAAAGCTCACCCACTGGGTTACTGCAAAACAGACGTCCTTGTTCAACAACCTGACAGCTGCTGAAGAAGGGCTGGGAATTATTCTTCATTGCTGCCAGTTCACTGGCTATGTATGCTGTTAACTAGTTTCAGAGAGCTAGACCTGTGGTAACGGCTCCTCTAAATACCATACGGCTCTGACACTTCAGCACTGAGCAGCATTGGAGCCGTAATGCAAGCATGGTGCGATGTCCCTTTATGGCTCCACTCCAAACCAAACGATGAAACCCCAGACTGTGTTATATCCATGCTAAAAAGCCCAATCCTCTCTCTGTCGCTTTATATCCCTCTCTCTCTGACACTTTCTCAGTTATCCTTTTTGTTAGAAGCTTGCAGTAAGTTCCTCCGTGTTGTTCGGAGCAGCAACAAGATGAACAAACACAAACAGCTACCAAACATGTTCACAAACTATACACACCAAGTACATTTGGTGTGTATAGACTACTCTTTCCTCCTCTCCTACATAACCCTCTTTCTATATGTCTTCATGTATTCTCCCTTAAGCTGCGCTGCCTCCTTTTCTTAGCTTCTAACAGTTTCCAAATGAAGGATTTAGTAATAAATTCCACAGAAGTATCCCGTGAACCTCAGACCAACCATATTTGTTCTTATAAATGGTGAAAACTTAACTGAATGGTTACAATAATGGATTTTTAAAAAATAGTCAAACAGTCAACTTTAAAAGCTATTTTTAAGGGGTTCGTTACACTGTATGCATGAAAGAGTGCCTCCATTATTGCTCTACCAGTGATGAAAAAACCATCAGATTGAAAGATTGTCTTTAACAAATCACAATATATCTAAAACCATTTTAAAGAAAGAACTTGATAAATTTATAATAAGATGGATTCATTGGTCATTCAATACACATGAAATGTGCATAACCATGGGAAAATGAAATGCCACCATAATCTGTTACAAAAGATTTCTTTTCATGCTCTGCCTCATGCAGAACCAGGAATTGGAAATACAGCCTATATATCTAGCAATAAAGAATACGATCCATCTCATTTTTGGGGACACATATTTTGCCTAGTTTTTTTCTCCAGCAGCATCAGAATTCCAATAATCTGACTTAGGATAGGATAGGATGCTTTTCCCTTTGATTTTATTACCTTTCAGTGACTCAGTGCACTCATGTGCTAAAGCAAAGAAAATGTTGTCCATTGTTTTTAATGTATAAACTGTTTCAATAGCATAGCTTTGAAACATGGTTTGGCATCAGCACATTGCGGTGACTTATTACGATGTGTTTGCAAGAGTGAGAAACTGAGCCTGGCGAAAGTTTTGATAACTTTGTGAGATTGTTATTTCTGACTGGCTTAAGCAAACGTCATAAATTTGGTGGAGTTCAGACCAGGAATGGAACCAAATGAACCTGAATTTAATCTGAGATGGGGAAAAATTGAAACTACAAATAGGAGAGGAGAAAAGAGTAAGGAGTGGGCTGAGCTCTGATGGAGAAAGGCAGAGCAGCCCACAGGGAGGTGTATCTGTCGACCTGAGGGTCTGAGTGGGTGTGTGGAGGCTCTGACAGGTAGTGTTGCCCTGTTATTAAGTGTCCCTGGTGTCATACTGTAGTTTGTGGGGGCGTTTCTGTTTTTTTTGGTGTTTTTTTACCAATCACTTCTGGTACCACAACATCCCAGTCAGCAGGAACATCCCTAAATTTTAAAAAATCTTTTCATGGTGAAGTCATTCATTTCTTTTAGAGAACTATACATGAGTCTGTAGTGCATGTGTGTGTTTCATATTATGTCATTCTAGATCTAAATCAAATTGGCAAATGAATGTTTGCCTCTAAACCAAAGACTCATCTGCAGAATCCTCAATGAGCAGAATTTGTGCACTTTAGAGTTAATCCACAACACACACATGCATAAAGCCGTTCTATCTGTTGTTGTGCCAATTAACATCTGATGGATCTTTGTGTGGAATTAGTGGAAAAAGACGGGGGAGAAAGGATGAATAATGGCTGTACAGAGAAGCAGGGAACAATGGAGAAGCAAAGCAAACAGAAATCCACGTTGTCATGTCACAGTGCCATGGCCCATGTCTGTTTAGATTCTCCAACATTAATAATAGAGTCCTATACGGGGTGTTTTCGAGGAGAGAGGCGGGGATGGCTAAATGAAGTTCAGCAGTTAATGGTATAACCTTTAATATTTACACATGAGCAGAATTATATGACATCCCTAACCAGGAAACAGATGTCTTTACAACCATTTGTTTTCATTAACTAACAACAACTTCAAAACCATTTCCTGACATTTTGCTGCCTTAAATTTCAAGATGATGTGATTTTTCATCACCAGGTTGAATTCCTCCCTTTAAACATAGTTTCCTGTTGTGAATACAACATCAATTTTTGAGATTTTCAAATCATTCAGTCTTTGCTCTTTTTAATCAACATTTTACTCAGCGCCACGGCTCTTAGTGGATCACAGAAAGAGAACAAGGTCGACGTTTCAGACAGCAATCTCCTGATCTGTCCACTTCGCTCACTCTGTGTTTTGCTTCTACTGCTGGATGTGTTAATGCACACAGTAACGGGGCTTTTCATTATTGCTGTTGTTCTTTCTTTTTTTGTAAGTGTGTGTGTGTGTGTGTGTGCGAATGTTCAGTCATGCCTGGCGAGATAGCATCAGCAGCTGTCAAAACAGACAGCGGCCGTCCTCTCATGCCTGGTTAGGACACGGCCAAGTAAAGTTGTTCTCTTTTTTTCTAATTTTGGCCACTCACCGGGTCTGACCAAGTGGCTGGTCGTGCTGACAGGGGGCGGGCCCGTGCCCCCAGAGGGGTGGGTGTGAGGGGGCATCACACCGGTCTCTTCAGCCTTCCTCTGTCAGAGGGGCAGGGTTAAGATGGTGTCAAGCTGCCATACCTGCAGCTTCCACTTGGGAGGCAATGGGAAAACAGCAAATAACCTGGAAAGAGAGATAAAAGTCCAGTGAGCAAAACACACCCCAATCCAAAGCTAAATCCTTCTTCTGAGACCCTGTAACCTCAGTTTTAATCGCTGAAGGTTGCACAGACTCCTGTGCACACACGTGCACGGCACCATTTATGTCAGCCCAAAGCTGCAGGACTGTGTGTGTGTGTGTGTGTGTGTGTGTGTGTTTGAATGCTCAGAATCTGACAATTCACTCGCACACAATAAAAGTGTATTTCCATTTCTGTGTATGTCTGTACCCTTCCTGGATTGTATGTATGTGATGTGTTCAGGCGTCACAAACAGCCCCTCCGCTATTTCACAGGCATGAATAATATATGCATGGGTCTTTGGTCGTTCACACAATCAGTTTGCCTTTAACACAGACAGACCCCCCACTGCTGCTGTCTGGAAGACGCAGACTGACGAACGAGACAGAGCAGAGGGAGAAGAGAAGGATAGAGAGGTAGAGAGAAATGGTAAAGAAATACACAGAAATGGGTAAACTGCTAGATGTAGCCAAGTATGGAGGGAGAAAAGGAAAAGATCAGAGGGGAGACAAAGAGTACATATGGGTGTGTATAACTACTCTTGATAAAGGATCCTCACTCTCCTCCAGCTCTTTTGCTGAATGAATAATCCAGTAGATGTAACAGTACTTACATTTAATTGCCTTTTTCTCGCAAAAGTAAGGTACTCATGTCCTCAATTTGCTATTAAGTACATGAAGACCAGCACCATGCCCAATGCCTGTGTTTTAAGCCCTTACTTAGGTTTTTTCGTCTCACTTGCACTTCTGACAAGGGAGTGTGTGAAATCCGCTTTATCTGCATAAAAGATACACAAGAAGACATTTTGGTTCCAAACAGTCAAATTATCAAGGAAGAAAAGGTCTGAGACAGCCCTCTTCTAATTTACTACTAAGCTTTATCCAGATGATTGTGCATTTGCGTTTGTTTGTTGATGCATGTGCAGTGATTATGTAAATCTGCACCTGTATTGTTCTTTACAGCCAGATGAAGGCAAAAAGTGGGACACGTGAAGGAAAAGAAATGTGAATGCACAGTTTTGATGATGGATGAGGGCACTCAGGAGTTCGGCACACGTTCAACTTTCAATGCAAACTGTCAAGCTCGCATTCAGACAGAAACTGCAGTCACTTCCAAAAGTAACACCCATCAATCTGTTGGGAGTGTCAGCAGGTTATTTACAGCTGGTTAAATATGGAAATTGGGCAAGAGCACAGGGTAGGAGAGAAGAGAGGAGGGGAAGGGTGGAATAGATGGAATAGATTAAGTAAGAGCAGTGACTAAGAGGCAAAGTAAAAAAAAATCAAACAGGTAAACAAGGAATTAAGATTGTCCTCCAGGACCTTATAAGTGTTTTGGCTCAAGTGTGTGAAATATTTAATTGTGTCTTTGAATGAACATCACTTTTATTACTATTTGCCCTGCACATAACATACTATTACACCTAATATTGTGGTTCTTTATAAAAGAAGTCACATTATTAAAGTCACATTAGACAGACTCCACTAGAAATGTTCAGTTGAATCAGTTGATCTTAATTACTAGATGAGTAGATTCGATTTTGGGGGAAAAAAAGCTTGGAAAAAGTGTGAATGAGAAATGAAAGAGGCAATGGAATTCATTGGTTGCTAATTTGGAGCCAAAAGTGTCCTTATTAGTTTTCAAAGTGGTTTGGCTTTATTTCATGAGTTGACAGATCTCTGCGGAACCAGATAGCTCAATTGAAGTAAGTTTGTTTTTATTCCCGACAGGCCCTATTATGATAACCTAATTATTACACCCTAGCAGGAAATAGTACAGAGGATGATCTTTCTGCCTGGGTTTGTTTGATCGTCTTTTCTGATTACAACTCAACTTTTATAAATCAAGTGAATTTGGCAATTTTACCCTGTGTGATGCAGTTCTGACATGGTTGGACTGTATTTAATTTACTGCCCCCTTTGCCCATCTTATTTATGAGCGCTGGTAGATTAGTAAACAGTTTGGTTACTCATGGACTGTGCACCAGTTAAGTAAGCTTTCATATTTTCTTATTTGTAACTGTTAACCAGTGTGAAATTTTTATGCAATAACTTCAATCTTTGTGAAATTCAAATACCGAATTTTTGTTCCCCAGATACTATGACTTTTCATTTGTCCAGTGATTTCTAGTTTATAAGTTGAAGAGGCAGCAGAGGATGAGGGCACAGGACTTTTTGAGGGAACAAACCACATTGGGTTGCTTTAAAATCTTGAATGCTCTTGCATTGTAAGTTGTCAGTGTATATTAAATCTATCCACCCTCTCATATTAAACTATCTTAATTTTTTCTTTCCCTGACTTTGACATTATAACACCTGTTGTATACGTAAAGGATTTCATTTTGAAAGCTAGTGGCCGCTCTTGTGTGTTGAAAAATGATGCAAAAGGCTTTTCTGGTGCTTTGAAAAAGTCACACCACACGCTCTTCACCATCCACATGCGACCGGTTGGAGGTGTCAGGTCGTGGAGGGGGTCAGCTCCACAGCCACGTGCTCCTGCTCCCATCAGTTCCCGTTACGTTAAATAGCTGGCGTGTTGTGGCGCCTGCCTGTCAGGCTATTTCCAGAAAGCTTTTTTTACCAATTTGATTTAGACATGGGGCCAGCCAAAATCCACACAAGGACCTGGCAGTGTAGACACATGGGTAAAGAGCTGGGTGTCAGCGCGGCTCAGCTTGTTGAGTAGTCAACTGACACCTTCCTCTCAGCTCCTCCTGTCCTCTATTCTTTCAATTCTGTTTTCATTGCATACACTTGTCTTTCCAGTAAAGATGCAGTTACGTTTTTCCACAGGCGCTCTGAAGACTCTGTGCTTAACATCCAAAGCCATTAACCTAAAGGCTTCATCCTTCTCAGGTGCCCATTGATGTTTGTTTTCTGTGACTGTGTAAGTTGGTGGGGAAAGCATTAGGATGCAGCCAGTCTCCCCATAAATAAATGTTTAATGTCTTTCTTACACCGGAGAAACGAAAGCTGTGTTTGAGCGAGACTTGAGAATGTGCCAGTTGCTGGACAAAGTGAGCCACATATGCGTTGACAAGCGAATGCTGCAAAAATGCTTACACATATATTCCCACTTACTGCGAATGGTTGTGTGGTAGGTGTACTCATCAAATACAAACCTCTTACAAAGTGCCTTGGCAAATGTTTCTTTTGCCGTTAAAGTATTATATTAAAAACCACCAATAAAATGCAAGTCAGACTGGAGTCCTTTAAGACTGATTAGACAGAGAATGCTGAGGATGCAAAATGGTAAAATAAAGATGGAAGTGAGGGGCATCAGTGATGATTCGATTTGGCAGCAGACATCTATTTTAAATGAACCATGTTCTCTCATTATTTCAACACAAGGCTATTTTTATCATCATTAATGTTATATCATGTGTTTTCTTAACATCAGACTATGCTATGGGTCAGAGCACATCAACAGCATTGCTCAAAATAAATTAGTCAGCTAAAACTGGGATGTTTGAAATTATTTAATGAATGGTTCCAGTAAAGCCATAAGGCTGACCTGAGGTGGCAGCCATGTTTCTTATTCGACATGCCAAATATCTGATTCAACCATATAATCAGTTAGTGATCATATTTTTTTTCTCTAGAAAGATGTCAGAATGTATCTAGTTGATGGATTGTCAGACAATGTGGAGATGCATAAAAGCCTTGGGGACAACAGGCCACAAACTCACTGCATCACCATGTAATCACACTGCAGCGTGGGTAACTTAATCACTCTTACATCACACGTTCGAACACAGAACCAGGGCAGACTAAGTATCCCCCAGCAGGTAGTTATGGTGTGTAGATTCAAGTGAAAATGATGCTATGAAGCTCAGAACACAATAAATGTAGAAGGAAGTAACACTGAAGTATTATCTTCAAAGCTTTCTTAAAAAAAAAGATAAGGAGGTCAGATTGCAGGAGGTCGCATTGCATGAACTGCTGAGTTGGAGCCGTAATAGCCAGTTACAGGTCACTTCTGAGTTTACGGTGGCTGTATTGGCACTGGCCTTGCTTTCTGTGTGATTTCTGTGTGTGTATGTGGCACCAGTTGCACTATAATGTTGTTATATGCTGAACTTTTCGTGCACTGTCCAGTCTTCCAAATGTGCACCTAACTGTTTCAATACAGAACGTTCTTTTTTTGTATCAATGCTGAAATAGTTCTCACTTTGGTATGTGTAGTGAATAGGAATTGATTTGGGACTTTGGAGGCACTCACATTCATTGGAAGTACAGTACCTACCATGTATCAGCCATAACCCAATTCCATAAGACTCTGAATCAGAGTGTTTCTTATTTCTTTTAGCAATGAGTTTGCGGGAACTTTATGCCCATACTGCTCCACCATACAGTATCATGGCTTAATCAAGTCGTATGCTTCTTCAGCAGTCGACTACCGACAGCTCTGCCCCAAAACCACCGCCCAATCAGTCCTAATAGCGTACATTTTTTGTGTGTTTTGAACGTTCAAGAAATAGCCAGAGGGCAGGCATTTTGAGCACCTTCCTCCACAAAATGTACACTTATGCCCATATTAAAAAAACAGCCATCTGGAGCACACTTAATGTGATGTATCTAGCAGTCATAAACTAAGATAAGCAGCCGGTGAGTTGAAAATATATGTATGTCTAGAAAAAAAGTCGCACTAACACAGCCAACAGACTTACCTTTTGACCAAATATCAGTCAGAACTGGTGTTAGAGCTTTCTGCCATCAGCCATCCATCCAAAAAAAAAATATTCAAGAAACAAAATATAAAAAAATTTAATTCAGGACAAAACAGTGAAAAAAACTGTTCCCACTTCAGTTAGCAACATCCATGTGCTCAAAATCGTGGTCAAAGGAATAATGTAAGAATAATCCTCCTTTCTGTTTTGAGACAATCCCCCTCAGCTTCCCTTCAGCCCACCAATGAATATTGAAAAAGAAGGGATTGTGTTGAAAAAAGAGGGATTGTAGAAAAACGAGATGAGGAGAGGCTTAGAGACACGCGCAGGGAAGAGAGGATAAGATCCTTAGAGGGAGAGGGATGGGGATAGTTAATCCTTTTCTTCTGATCTTTTCCCTATATTAATGATATGTCCAGCGCTGTCCTGCTCCCTGGCTTGTGCGCTGCCGTATGTCTGAGAGGCGTGTGTGTGATAAAGGGGAGTGTGTGTCTGCGAGAGAGAAAGAGCGACAAACAGCGTTGGGTTGCTGGCGTCATGCACTACCCCGCTCTCTGTGTCCCTATGTTTGTGATTCCAGCACTCAGCACGCGTCGGAGCAGTTGTGTGCACATTTCCAGTGTGTCTTTAAGTGTTGGTGCCCCCCCTCCTCCCTTACTTCTCTTCCATGTGTGTGTTCAGCCGTGCGTGTGGCAGGAGAATATGTGTGTGTGTGCTTTGTCAAATATAGTAACATTAGTGCATGCTGCCTCTGTCTGCCTGCAGCTCTCCTACAGTGACAGAGCGAGAGAGCGAGAGAGCGAGGGAGGTGGAATACAGAGGGAGAGATAATACGAAAGAGTGAAAGCTGAGAGAGGGATGAGGGAGGGAGAGGGAGAAGACAAGGAGGAGGAGAGTGGGAAGGAGAAAAAGAAATGGAGAAAGGTTGGTCAAAAATGATAGAGGTAGGAGGGAGAAGACGGAGGCAGAGGAGAGGGTGGTGAGGTTGATGGAAGGGGGGCAGAAAGAGAAGGAAGGGAGGGAGGGATCTTCTGATTTAAGTAAAGATGAGAATCTCCCTCTACCACATGGGCTTTTCTCCTCCCTCTATTTATTTTTCCTTTATTTTGCATCTCCCTCACTCGCCTTTCATTTTCATGCTATTCCCCAAAGCATCTCTGGTATCAGCTGGCTCTGAGTGTCTTTATGAGTGTAAAATGTGAGTGTATATCAATGCACATCTGCACAGGTTTTAGAGTGTCTGTTCGTCTTAACAAAAATGTGACATGCCTGCAGTAGAAATAGAGTTTTTAGAGATGAGATTAAAATAATTTTTCTATACATAGGATGCAAGTCAGTTCAGTGTAGTTTAAACTTTATACATAGACATTGTATTAATCCCAAAGTGAATTCAAGCTAATGTTGACAATAGTGTTTTGTTATTTTTTGGAAGACAGAAGCCTCAATTTTCATATCACATAGATGGAAGGTGAGTGGTAAAGGGGTGTGGGGGGAGGTATAAACTGGTGGAGGGATTCTGTGTTTGTTTGCACACAGCATATAATTACTTGGCTGCTTCCTTACATGGAGTGAATCATAGTAGACACACACACACACACATATTGTACTGTTAATGAGCATGTGAATCATTTGGCACTGTTGATGGTGTTTAAAAGAGAAACTAGTATTTTCCATGCGGAATGGAGCAGAGGAAAATCTGGTATTGTGAAGATAAGCCATTTTGATCCAGGTGTTTTCTTTGTTGGAGTCTTTGTCAGTGCCGCAAATTGTCTTAATTTGATTATGATTCTTTTGCTGACAAATCAACCAGACACACAGCAGCCGATGCCTGTGTTTGACTGTAACCTCTGAGCTTCTGGGTAAAAGATAAATGAAAGGAAAATCGATGGGAGGCAACCTTAAAGCTGTCTCTGTGCATATTCAATAAGAGAAATATTTCACTTGGGCAACAGCTGGGGGCTTGAGCCTTTAGGCGTTTACACCCCCGACAGGTCACCAGTCAATCACAGCGCCACACAGAGATGAACTAGACAGACAGCAGGCGCACATTCACACTCACTCTTACAGTCCATTCTGAGTCAAGCTAATTTGTGAGTTAGGAATACATAGATTCAGAGGTTTCCATGATTCAAATTTCTAGTTTCTAACCCTAAGCATGTCAATTCTTACCCTAAATATGTTAGCAGACAATGGTTATATGCTAACCGTTTTATATACATATATATATATATATACACCAATCTCTTCTTTTTCTGGATTTTGACCTTATGCTAAGATGTCTGTCTTAAATAGGCCAATATTTGTTTGCCATAAATATAGAAATGGTGAAACCTTCAGACAATATTTTTGAATGTGACGAATAAAGCTAAATATGCTTTTAAAAACTGGCAGTGACATCTGACCAAAATATCATCCCAACAAAAAGATTGTGCAATAATGTGCTGAGGGAAATCTTAGCCCATTCAGCCCTTCTGCTTAGTAGTCAACTGCATTTACCTGTATACATTACTGAGTCTGCACATACCACTACCGGTAATTCTAAACCCGCACACACACGCTTATAGACACAATCTAAATTTGAGTTCTCTGGTTTCCTGTCCAAATACAGGAACTGTGGAGGCATAGTGTCATGAATATAGCTCTTGGCAAACAGAAATCTGTTTTTTGGGAGGTTTTTCTGCTGCCAGTAGCTCTTGCCAGTTCTAGTGATAGGACACACTTCAGTGAAAACTGTACAAGATGACTGGCTGGACTGATGGGAACAACACAGTTAGTTCAGTGTCCTTCTTGATTTATTCAAGGGAGGTTTTAAAACAAATAAAAGAAAGACTAAAGAATGAAGTAAACAAATAATATCTGACTGTGAACTGGCACTCCGGATGGCTGCTTGTGTGTGGTTGTGTGTGTGTGTGTTTGCATATATTAATTGCAAAAGGGTCATTAGTCCTCTAATTAGTCCTGCCTCTTACTCTGGGGAGTACAGGTTGGTGACAAGGGTTAACAGTTTGGAACCGCGAAGAATTCAGTGCCTAACTCAAATCAAAAGATGCATGTGCTTTAAACAGCAGGTAATTACATCAGGCATCATAAGGTAATCATTAGGGATGTAATCTTGAAACAGAAAACACTTTTGTGGACCTCTCACAGGCTCTCCAAACATGACAATACACGGGCTTCACATCTAGCAGTCATAACTAAACATTTTAGCCTTTATTGTATTTTCAGTATAAATAAATTAAATAAAAAACTTTCATGCACCAAAAGCCTTATCTTCATCATCAGGCTTCTACGTAACATAATGGTCAAACCAAATTACGTAAATCATTCACACCTTTACTTAATCTGCTCCACTGTGCCTCTGTTTTGTACTTTGCTTCCTAAATTCATGGGTAGATAATGATAGAAAAAAGTAAATGGATGTGGAATAACAGAGAATATCCTAAATAGAAACAAAAAACTGTTAAGGAGTAATACATTTTTTTCTACATTAGAACAGTGAGTTCAGTGCTTACTCCATTTTACAATATTAACAATACTGTTGAAACCCGTGAGGCTGAGGCTTTGTTCAGGGATTGAAGGATGATGTTTTTATCACCTGCTGAGATTGCAAGGTGATGCATTTGGTCCTTTGAGCAATATTTCTATTTGCTCCCCCGTTTCGTTAAAGGATAAAGCATTTAGTCTTATTAGTCGTTTCTGCAGTTGGCAAAGATGGCTGCTGGCGTGGGCATCAACAGGAGGCGCCAGCGTTTCCTGCCAAGGTGGCTTTAATGGCCAGGTCCATTCCATCAATGATGCAGGGAATACGTGCTGTGAAAAATTATTAGCGCCAACGGTTTAAAACAACAAAATTTTATTTTTAACTTTTCGTTAGTGTGAATGGTGTTACCCAGCATTTCCCTGTCAGAAATATTCATTACATAGCTGCGGGAATATTGGTTTATTTATTATCTTGGATGCATGATTAAATCCCTGCAGTTTTTCCTGTCTGTTGCCTCCACTACTGATGATGTATGAATTTAAACCCAGTCTGCTGCATTCATTATTAGTTGCCATATATGGATGACTATCACCCCCCACCCCCTTTCCTTTTCTTTTTCCACCACTTCCTTCTCCTCTCTCAGCTCCGTCTCTCGTTCTCTATCTCTTTGCACTCAACTCTGCTGCCTCCCTTGCTTTGTAATTTACTGTTCTATTGGGTGAGTGTCAGTGAAGATGAATTGACCCAAGGCTTAGTATTTAACACCAGGTCTGTCCGGGGACATCTGCCCCTACAAGCACCAGTTCCTGCATAGGGCAAGTGACTTCAAGGCTCTATCTATCTTTTTATACACACACAGGGGCCAAGGAATTGTACATTTCACCAAAATGAGCCAGTGGTGCCACTGTTACTGTTTTTTCTATCACCCATGAATAAGGCTCTTATTGATCAGACAGTTTTATGGCCCTGTAGTCCAAATGGTTATTGAAGATACCACTATTAACAATCAGTCTTGTTTTAATTCAGGGTTTTGGCTATATGTTTCCAGACAAGCTTTTATCCAAATCTTTACTATCATATCTATATTATATTATTATATTACTGTACTTTAGCTGAGTCACTACAACTCTTCGCAATGGTACCCTTCCTTTCTATATGGATCTCTTTGGATACTCCAGCTATCATACCTGTTTAAGAAAAAAGGAGACTGAGTGAATGTTTGTTTAGATTGGTGATCCAAATAACTAAATTAACTCTCAAGGGTGTGAGTGTGGACTTGTTTTCTTGATTTTCTCTGTTTTGCTTTTGCACAAACCATACTCATGCCTTCACAATGAGCTGTTGGATGATGCTACAAGACGAGCCACCTCATTCTGTCTGTTAAACACATCACATCCCTCCAAACATCAGAGAGCTTCTTAAGACCAACAGAAAACATAGAACAGCTCTTTTCTCCAACAGAGAAGAAACAATTATTGTTTAGTTATCCAAACCTAATCAGAAAATCTGTGGAGGGTCCCATTGTTCCAAAAAAAAAAATTACACAAATCATCATAACTGGCCTCTCATCACGATATATTCTAGGTTTAACCTTATTTACAGCTTTGAATTGACCCCCTATTGCATTTTTGTGTCAAAGAAAGAACATAATCTGTGTTTTAGCTGCACTATGCTGCTCTACTACACTGCCATGAGTGGTTGCAGTAAACCTTTCAGTTGTGTAGGCCACATGACAGAGCAACTGAACAGGTCAATGTAATATCTGATTTAGGTTTGTCAAGTAAAGTAAATTGCGGTTTTATCATGAATGTCAGTCTATCTCAATAGCCATCCATCTACTTTCATACTGTTAAAAAACTAGTACGTTATCAAATTGGCACCTCAAAATGTCATGTCAAACAAGCCAAAGCTACTGGATGTGAACACTCAAAGCAGAAGAACACATAGCAGTTTGCATTCACATTTTCTTTTTATTCCTCACACACACTGGAACACGCTTTTCCATGTCTCTCCACTATGAATGATTTAGTGTGTGCCTCCGACAGGGCTGCTCAAGAGGCCTTGGAAACTAGGCTAACTTAAGGTAGGCTCCACTGACTTAAAAGGTCCACAAGTACAGCCAATGTCACTTTTTCCCATTTTAAGAATCAAGGTCTCAATTTAAGATGGTGAAATTAAAAATTTTACATTATATATCAGCGCTTAACTTGAGATTTTACCATTAAAACCTTCCCTATGGGTGGAAATGTATGGTCTGGGGGTCTAATTTAGAACCGGTCAGTCTAAAACTTCTAAAGGAAAGTCATCATGTGTCTTCGCCCATGCACGTGTGTCTGTTTGCATCCTTAATGTTCGAAAAGTTGCACATGGCGGTGTGAGACACTTCTTTTAAAAGGAGAAGTGAGATTATGGAGAAGCACAAGGGAGGAAGGTTGAGTCATCA